CTCTGGAAGCGATCGCTTTTTTTTCTTCTGTTTTTTTTCTTTCTCTTTTTGAAGCGAGTGGTTGAAGCAAATGGAGCATAAGAGCCCCCTGGTGGCTGAAGAAAAAAATCCATGTATAAGCCGCACCGGTCCATAAGCCGCATGGTTCAAAGTTCAGGAAAAAAGTCGCGGCTTATAGTCCGAAAAATATGGTACTCAACTTTCTTTAAATTTCTGTACCTGGGATACTGAGATGGATCAGGATAACTGTGTAGTTCTAAGCAGGAAAGAGTAATTTTCAAAAATTGTCTCCACAGCTAATCAACTTTAGCCCAAACAATAATGGCTGTAAATCATGTAGGTTTACAGACGTTGAGCTAAAACCTGTGGTGATAGTAGCTGAAAGATGTCCGCACTGTTTCCAGTGCTCACAGGCTGTTGAGTGAGGCTGTGTCTGTTTCTCTCTGCAGGTGAGTCAAGATGGGAAAGCCCTGTTGGATGTCCTCCAGAGACCTTTGAGTCCCGGAAACTCAGACTCACTCACAGCAACGGCTAATTACTCCAAAGCGGTCAGTGTTGGTGAATCTGTTTTTAAACCGTTTTCAACCGCTCACGTAAAATGAACAGTGTCTGTTCATTTTGGATTATCTGGCAGGTTCACTGCATCCTAGATGTAGTTCATGAAGTTCTTCACCATCAGCGGCGCCTGGAGAACATCTGGCAGCATCGAAAGGTCCGACTGCACCAGAGGCTGCAGCTGTGTGTGTTCCAGCAAGATGTGCAACAGGTATAAACACACAAACACACACACATGCAGGATTAAAAATACAACAAACATGTTCAGTTTTTTCTTTCTACATATTTCTGGACAGGAAGGAAAGAAAGTTTTACTGCCCACCAGCAACAGGCAGGAGACAGGGTTTGTGTCTGTGTCTGTTACAGAGTTGTAAAGTAACTAAGTACAAATACTTTGTTACTGTACTTAAGTAGAAATTTGGGGTATCTGTACTTTACTTGAGTAATTATTTTTCAGCCTACTTTTTACTTCTACTTCTTACATTTTTAATAAAGACGAGAAGTAGAAAGTTGTTACTTTTATTTCATTTTTGCTTGTTTTCATTCCAGCTTGTTATTATAAAAATAAAAACTATCCATATAAACCGTGTCTCCTAGATAGAGTGAATTTAACTGTGGTTGAATGAGAAGTATAAATATATAAAACTCTGATAGCGTATTAGTTTGTACACAAACAAATCATGTCACACTCCAGCAGGACATAATCATTAAAATAAAAGGACTGTACTTAAGAAGTATTTGTATTTCATGAATTATTGTATTTGGCCGCAGCCCTCAGATAGATTTTCATTTTGGGGAAAAGCTTTGGGCAGCCTTGATATACACTGCAAAAACTGTCCATCTTACCAAGTTTTAAAATCTTATATCAGCCAAAAAGTCTTTTTGATCTTCTTTTGACACTGATTTACTAAACAAGAACTGACTGTGTAAGAATAATAATCTTGTTTTCAGAATATGTAAGATTATTTGTCTTGTTAGTCTGAAAATTTGACTCAAATTAAGTCATAAATTTCTGCCAGTGGAGTAAGAACATTTTACTTGGTAAGATTATTAAAATACTTGATTTGACTCAAGTTTTTCTTATTTCAAGAATCTTACCCACTAAAATTTTCTTACTCCATTGGCAGATATTTTGACTTAATTTGAGTCAAAATTTCAGACTAACAAGACAAATAATCTTACACATTCTGAAAACAAGATGATTATTCTTACACAATCAGTATCGCGATCTACATCACGATAT